CTTCGCCGCCTAACATCATGTCCAGGAACTGATCGCAAGCACACCATATGTCGCACACACCGGGAAGCGCTACGCTGTCGGGCACTTTCGGTATGAGTGACACGAAACGGGCCAATCGGGCCATTATATCGTTCGTGACGTTAAAGTTGGCCAAAAAATCTTCGGGCGGTTTCAGTGGCCGCAGGTATCGGCACACGAGCACCGATTTGGCCTCCATATTGACGGCTAACGTCTTGATTGATCGGTTCGGGAACTCCTGTTTGAGTTTGTTTTGCCACTTCTTAGCGTACAGTTCCAGTGACTCACTCTCTATGGTATCGCACTATCAATGAGTGTAAATTGTTATTAAGGATTAGATTATTAACGATTAGATCCTAAGTTTAGATTGTATTAAAATTTTTATAACATTTGCAAAGATTTAATTTACTTTTATAACCAACGGTTCGGGCAATTGTAGCGATGGATCAATTGTGACAAACAATGTTAGATACGTCTGTTTAGACGTGTCTTTTGTGGTGGTATCGGATCCCAAGAGATAACTCTTGTTATCGTATTCATAGCCTAACAACACCAATGGTGTGCTTAAACTAAACGTACCTTTAAATACAATAAAAAAGATTATCTTAAAATTAATCCAATGAATTCTTCAGCAAACCTTCAATTTTTGAATTGAGATACAGTGTAGAGAAGGGAATCTTAAGAGATCCCAACCACCGGCGTTCGGTCCGCTTATGGATCACTTTCTGGCCATCGCTGGTAATGGTCTCTCCGGAATCGAGAATCACTTCATCGAATAGATTCAAATAAATACAATCACTTATTTTAGCCAAACTTGAGCACAGGTTGTCACTCTCCGGGGCTCTGTTGGGAATTGAGACCATTTATTATTGGATCTGTTGAAGTGATTATCTAATCCATGGCTAAGCACTGACTTGAATTTAAGCGAAAACGTCTCATTCCAAGTGGGTTTAGTGCCCTCAGCGGTGTTGGTTCGGGCGCTCTCTCT